TCCTCCCTTTTCGTTCTCATGTTACACTGAGAGTTACTGCTTGTTGAACGCTTCACTATCTGGGACCTATTTGAGTTTCACTCGTTTGTCTATGTTCTCATGGCTTTTTAGCATTCCTTATCGTTTGGAACTGTCGTCAGTTGATCTTTTTCATCCGATGACATGTGCCTTTCATGATAAGTCACATGTTTAGGTAATCAAATGTCAATTTCGTGATGACGCCTGCAGCACCACCACTTGAAACGTTGCTACCAAAAGCGAGATTTCGAAACATACATCGTATTCCCGGGACAACAGCTCCGCCTATTGTAAATGACATTAAAAAGACACCAAAAATGAAATTTGAAAGCAGAAGTGAGCGAGAACCTTTCTGTTGTCTAATTTTTAGAAGTTGTTTTTTTATATTGGCGCCGTTCTAGGATCAATGCAATCTCTCTGCCAAGGAACAGAAAGCTGTGAAGAAGAGGATGATCACTCTCCAAGGCGCGCACACTCTTTTCCTCGGTTGGATAACAGTGGTACGTGAAATTCACTGAGGAACCCTTTTTGTTCATTTTGTATTAAAGAAGGTGTTAGTTGCCACGTGCACTGGGTATGTATTGATCTCATGAGGAGTTCCATTGTTCAACACGATTAGGGCATAAAACAATGGCTGAGGGTCACTAATTTGTTCTTCTTCAGTGGAAGAGGAAACGATTTTCACTCAGATTTTTGTCATCTCTTATTTTAGGTGGAACCCCTAGCACATCGGGCAAGTGCTTAGGTGACAGCCATATTGAAGTCAGTGATGAAGACCGCGACTTCGGCTCTTCTCGCCGTGAAAATGTGAAGAAAACAGCTGTTGGGTCCAAAGGAAGTCGTGATTTGAGGACAGATCAGCGCTACTTGAAAGAAGAGTAAGCAGAACATTCATTGCTTTCGTATTTGCTTCTTCGTGCCGTTGGGGAGTGTAGGGGCAGGGTGACGCAGTTTTCCGCCCCGGGACTAATAATCCCCGTTGCTGCAAGGCTGGAAGCTCTGGGGACTGAATCAGTTTGTTTGTGCAACAAGGGAAAGAAATGAATATGAGAAACGAAAATGTTTATCATGTTTTCGAATCCCTGGTTTGAGTGTTCCACTCCACGATGCCCTCCCATCCCTTTCTCCAAATGGGTTTACGTTTTGAAAATGTTTCCACTTCCTCATGCTCACACTTTTGGAACCCATTTTTAAATGCTACAGCACCTTTCTGTATGCAGTATGCAGTGTACATAATTCGCAGTTGCAGCTGCATCGACTCCATACTTGATTGATCGCTATCCATTCTTGTGACGGTAACAATTCGCCGAATCTACATTAACATCCGACTAAGAAGTGGGTTCAGTCTCATATTCGCCTCGATGTGGGGCTTCTTATCGTGTCTACGTGGAATCAAATTCGAGTGCTGCGCCCTTCGATTTTTATGCGATATAATACCAGCTCTCTTTTAGCCCCATGGGCCGGCCTTGCGAGAAGTTTCCGTACAGAGCCTCTTTCGATAGGCTTCGGCAAGGTAATAGGTGCCAAATGCAAGGAGGCAGTGCGACCGATCGATGATGTTCCCCCCCCTCCTCCTCCACCAGCGGTAGTGGCTTAGCGCGGATGTCAGATAGGTCAGTTGGATATTTTTATAGACTCGCACAAGCTTCTGTACGAGGCAACCTATCCGATCTACTTCAGTATTAGGCAACATTGTAGCAGTTTTACGTGTCTTATGTTGCTCTGTAATGTTTCACTGACCGCAGTGAGCTAATAGTAGGAAGCGTTGCGGTAAATGAGCAGTGAAGTCTATCTGACAGGCAGTTCTGTTCCATTTATTTGGGTTAGTTGGAACACAGCCTTAATTTCTGTTACTCATAAGGCACACCAATGGTTCAATTCATATGGGGTGCAGCAATATGCAGTGAAGTACCATATTGTACTTGCGTTACGCTCTTTGTATGTGCTTGCGAAAGTACCGTTTTGAAGATAAGTATTAGTTTAGCATAAGTAGCTACTTGGTGGTGTCGAGGCAAGCGACTGACTTGCTAGGTAATGGTACCAGAGTAGGCTATTTTAGTTTGAAGTGAATTGATCAGAAAAAATGAAGAAGTTTATAAAGAACATTGAATGAATTGCCGTCTTACAAATGATCTTCAAGGTGGCGCGCAGAGTGGAGCAATGGCATTCAAATTCCTCTCCGAGCAAATAATCCAAATCCTGCCGAAGTACGTAAAGCTGTTGTTAAGCGAATTTCGACCAAACTCAGTCGGTTAGTTCTCTTCCTGAATGTGGTATCGGTTTCCTAATAGACTTCGCTTACATGTAAACATCATTGTGTATCACTTTCAGTGTCTTACAAAAACGACGTGAGCTAATCAAGGGATTTTTCGACAATGCTTACGAACCCATTGAAACAACACCTCTTCGGCTATACGAATGCAATGTACTGGATGAGCTGTGGGTAAAGCTGTTCAACGAGGTAAGTAATCTGTTTCAATTCCTTTTCATTTTATTTCACAACTTATTCATTCTACAATCCTGCCAATATGTTATTTTCAGCACCGAATGCACTCGAAGAGTCCTTCGTTGCCCATGGAAGTGTTCTTGGACATCATGAATGAGTTCGAAATTGAATGCTACAAGGTAATTCCATTGTTGCATATTGTTCAATTTTGTGTACTTTTTCTTTCACATGCCTGCATCTCAGAAATCTTTTCTAGAATATTCACCGAAAACTTTTGGAACCGCTTCACTCTCCGAGTTCCCGGATCGAAGACGGCGATGATGAAGCTGCTTGCGACATTTGCCTAGCGGTAAGAGATTTCTTCTTCAACATCATATGCAGCAGATGTGCTTTTCGTATGAAGCAGTGAAGTGCTCATAGAGCATATATTTCAGATAGACAGTGAACCAGATGATGAGATGGTGTTTTGTGACGGTTGCAATTTGTGCGTTCACATGTCTTGTTATGGTTTGCAAGAACTGCCACCGGACGAGTGGTTATGTATGAAATGTCGACTGTGTTATGGTTGGTTTTTTTTCGCTACTACTTATTCTCCATTGTGGGTGCTGGTGCGTTGCTCGCGTATTTCCCGTTTGTACCATCACATATTTTTCATGTTTTCAGTTACCTTGTTCTTTTTTCTCATGAAACATGCCACTCATAAGCCGCATGTGTCACAGGAAAGTCTGAGCGCTATACAGATTTGCATTTTCGCGTATCCATTTTTCATTTTTTCTCTTGCATTTGTGTGCAGCGATTGGCAGTTTTAATTCTTTTGGCAAACATCTGGTGAAACGCCCGTGTCAGTTGTCATTTATATACTGCACGTAGCGCTGGCTTGCACAGACACTGAAAGAACGGCGGCGAAGAGAAAGGGTTTGCAGAGAGTGCAGCCGGCGATAGCAGTAACGACACGTTAGTGGCATAACAATTCTCCAATAGATGCGTGTTTCGTAGAATTTCTGGTTGGTACTTGTTGGAAGTGAATTTAGTGGATGATATTGGCTATTTTCTCCTACACCCTTTCGAGGATATAATGTTTCGGAATTTACGGACAGTGATGTGGTGATGAGGCTGCACTGTTTTTGCGCATTCAACTTTGGTTGAGCGTCTAAAGCCTTCTCTCTAGAAGCGTTGGTTCAAAAAATATTTAAAAGTCGGAAACAAGGTGTACGCCAAAAATGCCTTCTTTCAGGTCGCAATCCTTCATGCTTGTTGTGTCCAACTATAGGCGGTGCATTGAAGTGCACAGACACGAATCAATGGGCGCACGTTGTGTGTGCGTTATGGATTCCAGAGTGCCGTGTAAGTAGTACTATCATTTCGGCACGTTTATGAATTACTCCGGCAACATCGACCAGTTGTCCTTGTGTAATGCATTACTTCGTTCCTTGCTACAATTGATTGAAAATCAATTGTAGCAAGGAACGAAGTAATTTTCAGAGAGGGTCGGCTAATTTCGTTTCATCAACATTAACCGTGATTTCCTTCACAGGCTTTTACCGCGCGTCCAATCGCAAGATCATTGATCTTACACGCTTCCAGAACATCAACACTTATTTCATCTTTTGTTGGTTGTCAAATATGTCGTTCCAGGTTGACTTCGAAAAACGAGAGCCTATAATCCGTATCAATGAAATAAAGGAGGAGAGGTGGAGTGCGAAGTGAGATTCTGTTCTACTTTTTCTATCCTTTCGTATTTGCTGGAGTGATTTCTTTATTTTGGGTGTACTGTATGCGACACTCGGCAAGGTGCTTGTATCAAGTGTTCTGGTTGATTCCTGTACTTCGTCATTTCATGCTACAATGCACTTACGTAGCGATAGAGATGCGCATTGAACAGTGAGTTTCAATCGAGCGAATTGTAGACTATAGATGCCCTACCTTTGAAGAACAGGGCAGAAAACGGAGGCAAAGAAAGGGAAAGATGCCCCAACATTCGTGTCTTTACATTTTTTATCGCGGATTTCAGCGTTACTAAAGAAAAGGCGCGTATAAGTCGTGCCCTAGATTTGAAAATTTCTTTACCCAAATTTTGTATAACTTGCACATATCCTTTCCCATACAACATTTTGTCTGCAAAAAGTCTTTTGGGAGTGCTACGTCTAAAAAACACATCGACTGCTCTTCCTTCACATTTGACCTGCAAGTTCACCTGTCAACAGGATGTTTCAAATGTCGTGAACGGATCTAGTCATTGCCTCGTTATTGTAGGATTCGCGATTGACAGAACTTCCACATGATATCGCTTTGTCCGAGGCATCGTTCCGCAAAGCCCTTCGTAAAGGACGAGGTCGTTTGTGAACCGAGTCAGGTAGGGAGTGCATTATATTCTGTCGAATAAGTGATGTGTTGTGAGATGTTGTGTTGGTTTTGCATCCATTATGAATGTAATAACAACTGATTACAATTGTAGTATCTAGCTTATGACTGTGTCGTTATGGAAGTCGTACTTCTCCTCGAATGTCGTGGAAGTGTTGAATAATTCTTATGGCCCTGGTTGAATTATCACTTTAGGCTGCATCTGATGATGAAACTGCTGGACATTACGGCTGCAGTCCTTTGACAAAGCTCCGAGCAAGTTTGTTACGATATTTTCGTAGATCACGCTGCAGTGCTTGCATAGTAAAGTACCCACTATCCGGGAACACTATTGCTCCTCTCATCTCCATGTTTGCGAATAAATACTGTATTTTGTTTTTCCAGGTTGGAACTTGATCCGTTACTCGTAGCTGACGTCTTTGCCTATTGGGTGAAAAAGCGCCTGCATCTGAACAATGGGAAACCACTCATTGAAAACTTGCAAGATGAAATCACGGGTGCATTTTTGATTCACTATTGCTGATTATTCTTGTGAATGTACCTCTTACTGATCAGGTGTCACATGTCTCGTTGCTTTACGCTTGTCGAACCGAAGCCACCTACAGCTGAGTTAACCTGGTATCATCTGAATACTAATTCTCATGTTCTTCGCCGTCTACACATTAAAAGAAAACGTGGTCGTCCGAGGAAAAATCCAGTGGAAAATGAGGCACCATCAACTCCTGAAGCAAAGGTCTTGGATGCAAAAACGCTTCACGCTAAGGAGAGGTTGGAGCGTTCCCTTTGTGAGGTCAGTTTTTTTCTTTTCAATTCCTACTGCACAATCTCCAGTTTCCATCTCTATTCCCTGTTTAGGCCAAGCTTTCCAAAATACATTCAGCTGAGTGTAAATCACCCTTCTTTTAGAAAATGAACGACATTACGTGCAGTGAAAGAAAGTTGGACAAGTCTATAAATAACTTTTAAAAAAGTGAACATAATCTGACATTCAGCTCGAGTCCTTATTCGTCAAACATCGGCATTTGTTCCAATTTTAGATTTTTTCCTATGTTAATGCGGTGGGCAGGCGGAATCTTCGTTAACCGGCTGTCGTTTCGTCCATGTCCTCATAGGCCTATCTGCTTATGGCGGAGCAACAGCACGCTGGCTCTAGTTCCCCCGTTCTTTTATCACTGAAATCAATTTATGAGGCGTCAATAATCAGCGACTTGACCGAGTGGCGTATTTCGCTTCTTCCACAAGACGGTTGGCTGTTTTGAAAGACATCTCACCCAAACATCGACCACTAACACACCTGAGGGCGCATGCATAGTCGGTCGTCCGATCGTTAATCGTACAGCGTTAGATTCGCATGCTCATTCAATTCTTACGCGATGCGCATCCAATGCTGTAAGACCGTTACGATTGGACGACCGAATATGCACGCGCCCCTAACAGCTCCATAGAAAACAAGAAAAAAAAAAATTGTTTAAAATAGAGAATGTCTCCTAATGGTAATTTTGTATTTGTCTGTAAATATACCTGATACATTTATTTTGAAGCAAAACCCCTGCTCGAATCTTGATTCGGAATTCTGCGTAGGCCGCTTCTTTCATTCAGGGCTATGTGAAAACAAGCTGAAATAATTTTTGGAATTTGCAACGTCTTAATGGTTCTAATTTTACAATGTCTGTCTTGATAAATTGTCTCAGATTTTTCTAAATTTTCTAATAAAGTTTATGAAACAGCGGTGTATCAAAAATAAATGTTTTGAAAGACGTGATTTCAACCCATTTTCATATTCTAATGTTCGCGATGTTGCTCCACATCGATGTATATGATAATCATCATTGCTTTAGTCATGCATCAGCTTTTTGCAATCTTTTCCTGGCCCTACGTAGCCTCGTAGTCCGCTGTTTGAACGATGTTCTGACAGATGACTTCGTAACTACCGTTGTCGAAATACGAGAACTTTGAGACGTTGCGCAAACATTAGCCCAATCTTGATGCAGAACTGGATGTAGTCGTACGGATAAATTTGAATTGTGCCTGTATTCTCGTGACCGCTTGGTGATCCACTTGCATTTGTCAGATTATCAAACACCTCCTAGACCTTGGCGGCCACGGCGAGTATGTAGTCCATTTCTGGTTGGTCATATATCCTTTTAAACTATCTAACCATAGAACTCGAAATATAGGAGGAGGAGCCATAATGCCCTTTTTCATTTCAGCTCCCTCTCACCCTCTGTTTCCGCATCTCTCCCTCCCTTAAGGCTGCGCATTTTGCGTGTGAAATATGCAAATATTTCTGCGCTACAACTTGCTGGAGATTTTGCGCACATAGAGCAAACTAAAGATATTCTAAGATTGTACTTCTTTTCAGGGGAGAACGGCTGCTTGATTTGTGACTGCGGAAGATCCAGGGAACAACGGAACTTTCTTCACGCCCATATAGGTGCTTTGTTGCTAATAACGGAGCATCTTTCGAGGCCAGTTCCTCTCAGTCATCGTACGGATAGATTTCTGAATGAGACCTTGCCAGGTGTGTCCTTTGTGGATTCGACTTATATAAGAATCAAACTCAAACCCGGGAATATCACTGAACTCATACTTCAATACCGTAAAAGACCCCAATTACCGGAAAAAATTTTTAAATAAAAAAAATTCCAGCAGGTGTGTCCTTTGTGGATTCCTGTTTTTTTTTTCTGTTCTTGAGCTGCGAAACTAGTTAAGATATTTTAAAAATTCTTTTGGTGATCCCAATCCTACTGAGTTATGTCTAAATGATTCCCACCTGTTTCTGGCTGGTTTCTTTTTCAACTTTTTTTGCTCATTGTTTAGATTATTAGAATCATCTATTCAATATCTATCTTACAGAATCTCTGCTCGAAGGACGTAATAGAGGAAGGTGTGAGACGCGCCGATGAGATTTGTGGCCTAAACGGACTGGTTATGCCAAAAGCATCATCTTTTTCGCGAAGGTATTCAAGTGCGGATCGTTCTTTCTTGGTTGAGTTCATTCAGTATTGCTTCCAGAAATGACAGAATATCGCCATCTGAAACTACCCCTGCGTCTACATCCTCGTCGGAATCTTATCATCCTCCCTGCCTGCGGAACAGTTCTCCTGTTATGCGGAACTCAACGGCTGACATTCCTCCGTGCGTTTCTTTGGGACATCCAATTTCGCACGCTTGCTTTCCACGATCTTTGTTTTTTTTTTTTGCATTCATAGGCTTAGTAATGAACATGGTCTCAGACTTCACAATGTGCTTTAAATGAAAACGTGATGTTGGTTTTCTGAGGCTACATGTAGTACTGAGTCTAAAGAACATACGCTATGTTTTGGCTCAAAGTCGATCACGGTGGTTGCTAGTTCCTTTCCGTCAAGCGCTTCTCAGCAGTTCTCTTGAACGTTAGGGAGCTCACGCATGAAGCTTTAAAATTGCACATTCATAATATGACAGAATACTCGCAGGTTAATTGGAATTGGAAAGCAAAATGTCGGGTGTTGCCTTCTGTCGTGTTTTTTCTGGAGCTCTGTAGTTATGAAATGCTGAAGTTCATTTGCTTCATTGTACAGCTGGAACCAGTGATGTTTGTAGAGAATTCAAAAATATCAGAAAGTACAGCTAAAAATTGAATGTGAATGTTTTTGTTGGAAAACTCATCGCAGAAACTTATTCTTGATGAAAACCATCTTTTCATCTCACGATCAGACTTCTTCGTATTAAGACGCTGTCTACTAAGCTACAACCCTGTGATCAACTTTGAGCCATCATTTCGTTATTAATGTTGAGTGATTGTGGTTTTGTGTTCCTAAATCATATTCAGTGTTTTCAGAGTCTCGTCCCCGAAATCGATATCTCGCCGATCCCTCTCGAGTCCTAGGAAATACCCAAGAAAACGCACTTCAAAGCAGTCGCGTATCTTTTTCGATGAGGAACAGCGTAACAATCGTCGAAAGAGTTTGAGGAGCTCAGACGCGAAGCCCACCGATGTGGAAGATCACTCGAGGACGCACGATCCGAATGATGGTTCTATCAGTGGGAAGCATGACGAGTCATCCCTTCTTCTTCGAGATTCTAATCATCACAACGAGAAGGCTGTTGAGGTCACCCCTGCTGAGGGGGATACGACTAGCAAGCGAAATGAGGAAGGGGACACTTCCATAAGCCACGACCCTCCCGTAAAGATGACGCAGTCCTCGTCAAAAGGCTCAGGAAGAAAGTCTCGAACGGGGCGTAAATCTGACACAAAATCTACTGTCGGTGGAGCTCAGTCGCCTTCTCCAAAGCGTCATCGAGGTGCACATGCACTAGGTACAGAGCTGAGGCTACTAAAGTCATTGAATCTGAAAAACGCGAACAAGGACTTCAAAAACCGGTGGGGTATTTCTTAAGAGAATTGTTACGCAAATAGTAACGTTCGTTCGAGTTGCATCGTTAATCGACCGATGTTATGGAATGACGATCGTACCCAAGCGCACTCGGCGAAATTTCTTACCCGGTCGACAGTGTCAAGATAAGTTTGGTGAACATAGGATTTTGAGGTCGACACTGCGCTCAGTTCAGTCACCGATTCACATAGCAGCTTCTTCTGTTGACAGGACGTTTTCTGAACCGAAGCGTGGTAGGTTGTCAAGTATTCTAGTAGTTGTATTCATTGATAAACAGTTGTAGTAATTTGATTTCTTAGAACTCATGGCATCTTACCCGTTGCTGCGTTCTCGTCCGACACCTCTCTTTCATTCGAGTCGCTCTGGGGCATATCCACGTAAAGCAATGGTTAAGTCTCGACGTGCAGGTGCCAACGGATGTAGGCTGCTGTGAACTCATTAAATATCACGTTGATGTTTACACGGTGATGATCCAGGCAAAGGCGGAAGATCAGGGTGAAGACCGAAAAAGCTCAGCAACTCTAAGTGGTCTAACAATGCAAGGCTCCCTATCAGTCTACCGTTGCTGCTCGGAGCTGACTAGGCTAACCTCTATGTTTCCCAAAGGGCGTAGAGGACCATTTACAGTCGATATCCGAAAGTTGGGGTAGGTGTGTCACCGGAAGTGACGTGCACTTGATAGAAGTTGCGTGGATAAGCTGTTGCCAGCATGCTTTGCTGATATCCAGCGATGTATGCTGGAAGCAGCTTATCCACGCAACTTCTATCAAGTGCACGTCACTTCCGGTGACACACCTACCCCAACTTTCGGATATCGACTGTAAGTCCTCTACGCCCTTTGGGAAACATAGAGGTTAGCCTAGTCAGCTCCGAGCAGCAACGGTAGACTGATAGGGAGCCTTGCATTGTTAGACCACTTAGAGTTGCTGAGC